ATCTGAAAATAAAACCGGATTTTAGTAAGAGTGCGTAGTAGTTCTTACGTTTATATACTTTATTCTTACAAATACAAAGGCCAACCAGAATGACTTTGTGATTTTGTTTATTCATTGTACATTTAGATAACAGAAATCAGTGACATCATTCAGCGCCGTAATCCATCATTAGTTTTCCCGCCAAATCTGTTGTCAGATTTTCAGGAAACCGTAAACCACAGGTGGTCTGACCTAATATTTTGTTTGGTTGATGGGAACATGAACTCAAAGGCCATGAAATCACTTATTATTTATTCATACTCATAGCTGACGTTGGAATTTCTCGTTCGATAGTATAACTCTAGTTCATTGGCTTGTCATGTGACTAGATGTGAACACAGACCAACTAACCCCCTGCGTCCACGCGTAAAGCCAGTTTTGTGTTTGGACCCCTACAACCCTTACGTTGAGAGCAATCACGTGTCACCGTCCCAATACAGTGTTGTACTCTTCCATCTTTCTTCCTTGGTGTAATACTGGTTGTAACGATGTTAAACGAACCCTCCCCTTTGTAGAACAAAAGAAGGGCGTCTACGTACCACGATGGAGCATTCAGTTCAACCTCGCAGTTCATTACTTCACTTTATTGTCAATAGACCACCAATGGTGGTATAAGAGTACACATTACACACATCAATTATTACATACAGTCAAAATGGCGGCGGAGTATAACAATATATTATAGAAAATCAGTTGTTGGTATAACGTGTCTATTATCTAACTTTTGTTACAGTAGAAAAGATAACATTTATAAACTTTGCTAGTTTTTTTGCAGTAAAATCTAATGTAGTAAACAAAATTCTATAAGATGCAATATTTGAGTGTTTGAGCAGTTTGGTTGGTATGAATTTTCTTCTAGCTTCCTGAAAAGCAGGACAGCGAAATATATTACGGAACGCGTCTGCAGTTGCTGGCGAGTCACATAATTTACAAGTTCTTTTTTCTCTTGGAGTATTATCCAACGCCCTGTCTCAATTGGTAAACAATGAGGAGATGTTCTGAATTTTAATAGTGAATGATAATATATTTTTGCAATTAGAGAAAGGCACCAAGTGATGGTAGGGTCTTAATATATTTATAGTATTGTCCCTTAGGACTTATTTCTATGGCATTCCTCCACTCTTGATAAAAGTGATCTTTTAACCTACTTTCTACCATATTCAACAGCCATGTTCGACTAAAATGTCCTGGGGACATATATACATTACTGAGCCCGCATGAGTTTAGGATATTTTCAACAAATTTAAGCAAAGAATAGGAATGATTATTTGCCACACTATCTAATGACATGAAATTATAGATTACCTGCGATAATTTGAATTGGGACAAGGGCGTGGCGAGTTTATGCCAATAACTAATAATTCATTTGGATACATAAATGTTGATATGATATCTTCCAAATTCACCATATAAGAAATAATTCGGTGTAGTCATTCTGAGACCAGAGGCTAATTTTAGAAACTTGGTATGTACGTTTTCCAGTATATCTAGTTTACCATGACTCCCAAATTCAGAGCCGTACAACATGATAGGTAAAATCATTAAATCAAACGCTTTAAGTCCACAATCAAGTGGTAAATCATTGTTTCTTGCCATTTTCAATCACAAAAACATACATTTCTTAGCCTGTGTTGCTAGTACATTAATACCAAAAGAGAACTTTCTATTTTTGTGAAAGCTAAACCCCAAGTAGTTATAATTATCTACTGTGCCATAGTGAAACGATAGCTTATTTACTCTACATAACAATTTTAGTTTTATCACTATACAGTCAGTCTCCATTTCTGGCAATATACATGAAAATGGTCCAGGAACCTTTGCAGGGCTGACGCTGAAGTAGCAAATAGTGTGCCGTCTGCATATAAAAGAACTGGCAGCTGTATGCAAATTACATTCATATCATAATTATTGATAGGTATATCAACACCATTACAATCAAGTATTTTTAACCATGATTCTAAATCATCTATAAAGATAGAGAACAATAACGGAGAAAGATTTTCTCCTTGTCGAACCCCCGAGAAACTTGGGGAAAGAAGCAGACTTTTCATGGTTAAACTCAATACTGGATATAATGTTAGAGTATATATTTTGAACTAATGTAAAGACCTTACCTTTGATACCATAAGACAACATTTTTTACCAAAGACCAACTCTCCAAACATTATCGAAGGCTTTAGAAAAGTCAATGAAGGCACAGTACAATTTATGTTTATTGTGTTTTAGGTATTCAATAACTGTTGTCGGTTGTAGAGTAACCGTTTCGAAAACCGGCTTGGCAAGAGGACAGTAAAGATCTAAAAATCTGGATAATCTATGGTTAAGTATGCTAGTAAAAAGTTTTCCAAGACAACTCAACATTGTAATAGGTCTATAGGAACTAGGGTCACATGAGTCACCTTTACCTTTGTAGATGGGTTTAATGACCCCAATTAACCAAGATTCAGGAACTTCACCTGTGTCGAGGTCAACATTAAGAAGTTTTTCTAGAAATGGAAGAAACAAGTCTATTGAGTCAATCATATAATCGTTTTCTACCAAATCTTCACCTGATGCTTTATTTCTCTTCAGCTGTAATACTGCTTCAGAAATTTGATTCTGTGTTGAGGCAACATTAAGAACTGAGCAGTCTAAGGGTACATGCATCTCATTAATATCTTCAGGAACTGTATCATTACACCCTTGTGCGTTTATTTTTAAAGTATTCACATAGCTCATATCACTATGAGAAGAATCATTATGTGTAGATTTTCGTTTATGCAGTAATTTCTAGTAATCCCTTGGGTTCTTCTTCTGCTTATTTCTGATTTCAGTGGCTACTTTACACTTATATCTATTCACATACTTGTTCATACATTTCTTATACTCATTAGCTGCGTGGCGGTAGTAGATATGATTTGCTTAAGGGAAACAAAACTCCCAACTTTTAGTCGTCACGCCATTATTTTTAGCCCGCGAAATCCTCGGATGCCGATTAGCGCCAGCCACCCAGCAAACTGGGTTTGGACAAGAAAGGGAGTGCCTCCTGGAACGCCATGGAATCCCCTTGAATTCTCAGATTTGATCAAATTATGCTAACGAACACCTTCCGCCCAGCCAATTCGCACATGTGTGTAAATGTTTATGTAGAATTATGTACCTCATTATACAGCAATTTCGTGGATGTACTATTTTGCAACAATGAAGTTTACTTAATGTACTCTTAACAGCGATGACAGGCACAAGGCATACAATAAAACAATTACCACGAACCTTTTGTCATCCGTGTTTTATCGTACAAGTCCCACCCTTGGTGTGTATTGCATTACAAATGATTGTATTTCAAGTATTAATTAATAGTGACGACATTCGGATGATATAGTCTCTGCAAAATAGCTCAATAAAAGTTAACCCTTACCTCTGGTTGTGTAGTGGACAGCAGCCAGTGGTTCGCATTTTGGCGTACTTATTCAATCTAAAACATGGAAATAATAAGGATTGGTGTGGTGAATGTATTACATGTTATTGTAATATGCACGTGGCAGCGAAGAGATTACGTTCGCGCCGTACTTGCACGTCGTCATATGAGCGAAATATTCTTAAGTACGACGTTAAACCCTATTTCACCTCACCTCAAATAATTAGCCGATAATATGTTGATTGAATGTTCAGTGTTGTCAAAATATATAATTAAAGTTTTTAAAGAGCCGTGAACACAGAAGTGTGTGATATCCCAGCTGACCAAGGGTATACGGCGCCTATGTGCGAAACAGGCGAAGAAAATCATTTGAGAGACGAACACCGGTTAAAGCAACACGAACGCTTTAGATAATATACATAATTTTAAATATTATGTTGTTACAAAGACACCTGATATCGAACAAGTGTCTTTGTCCTGCTGCAGATGTATGGGATATTGGCCCTATGTGTGGATACTGACAGATATTTTCCAAGAAGAAGATACTTGTAACAATTTCGGTTGTAATGACGAGTTTGAATTTCGTTTTCATTTGCTGTAGCGGGAAGGCATGGGGTCTGTGGTTAATGATCCAACTGTTCCACACGCGAACATTATCCGCCAATAGCAATCACTTATTCTAAAGTGCGATTATTACTATTATTAGTATTTACTAAAATTATTTAGTAAAAACTGCAACTCAATAACTAGATATTAGGATAAATAATTTGTAATGAAATATCATATGTATTCGATCGTTGCTAGAAAAAATGACTATCTTAGATTTCACATTTAATTGACCAAGTTTATCAGCGGTTCGTCTCCTCTAAAGGAAGTTTTGCTGTTTTATTGTAATACTGATAGTCCTCGGGAGGTTCACACTTGGTGTTGTATGCATTTATCAACAACAAAAAACATGTCAGTTTGGCTGTGTCTCTTTATTGTATACCCTTTGTCATGATACAGCGTCTCATTCGCCGACCCTTTAATAGGTGTCTCTTCTCTCGATGTTACAGTCTATGATAAGCGAATTTGTATTCCGGGAAAATGAACCGATCCACACATAGACGCTTTCAATGTTGGACTTCAGTTTCCCTATAACCTTTCTCATTTCTGTTAAATTCAAGTAGCGAGTATTTGCAGGTAAATGAACTAATCTGTAACCATAAACAGGCTTGTGTAACTGACATAAACCTAAATCACAATATCCTTTAAAAGGAAAGAGATTCGTTACCACGCTCCAACATATCACATTAAAGTGTTAAAGTGCGTGGTGATCTGTTTCGAAACCGCCATTGTGTGGGTAACCGGAAGTAGTTTCCAACAAAGATGGCGGACATTGTTAGATTGAGTGGCGAATTTTAAATCATTACTGGTGGCTACAGTGCGACTGGAACATTGGTTGCCTATTCAGCCTTTATATCGCTCCTCCTAACTAAACCATTTAGCTTAAGTACTTCATTAGCCTACATTACTGTAATAGGACATGAAAAAAAAAAATTGAGGTCGTACTTTTTGTTGACAGGCACTTGCGTGGTGTCCATGGCGACCAAGTGTGATTGCGAGCGGTGGCGGTTCAAATGATGGCCACATTCGTCTCTGGCACGTGCATACCGGAGAAAAACTGACCGAGGTGGATACGAAGTCTCAGGTGAGGTGTCGCAGACGCCTGCAGGTCCATTTGAATCTTACTACATACTTATTTTCACACTTTTTGATTTAAAAGAAGAATATTATGCTTCTCAGACAAGCGTCGGCCATCCTAGACATGCATGTATATTGCAGCAATGTTATATGTATGTAATTTTCTCAAGCAGTACTTCAGTATCAGAACTTATATATGTGATGACAGTGTTTTTGAAGATGGACAGTATTCCACAATGAATCGGATGGGCTTCGGTCTGAAAGACCAACACTGTGAGATATCTGTGTAGTTCGTAACTACATTCACGATGACATTGTTCAAAGAGTTCACCTCCCTCCCTAAATGTTTTGCGGACTGTTATAATTTTACTTGGAACGTAAACGTTATGAAATCTTTCAATATGCCGAGTATACGTATGGCTGAATGAATGTGTCATAAGAAGTTTGTTCCCGACATTACGATATCAGATCAAACAACTTACAGTGAGCAGCTGTTGTTCACAGGGGACAAAGCGGGTCTGTATGACGTCAGAGGTAGACATTAGTTCGCTATTCGGCCATGAACCTTCTGAGTGCCTGAATACTGAAAGTGTGGCTGATGTTGTAGTGATGGGAAGCGTGGTGAGGAATACTCCCTCAACGTTTACTTCACCTACAGCGTACACTCCATATCCAGTCTGTAATCTGTCGAGGGTTTATTCATCTAAATCGCTTTGTTGTCTTCCAACTATTTTTCTTAGCTTATTTAATACCGCACCAAGCAGCATTCCAGCTATATGGCGGTGGTCGAGTCTTGACGATCAGTCGTAGGGCATCTGACCGCCCGATCTCTTGAGGCGCCTCTTACGACATGCGTGGGTAACCAATACCATATCTGACACACACCAGTCTTCGCTGTGTTCCGACTATATGACTTCTATGACGCTCGTGTGGCAAGCCGTTTACTGAGAAACCGCTAATATCTTCATTTAAAAAACCCCTCACCCAAACCCATCTGTATTATATCTAAAGACATCCTTAAAGATATCGGTAAATAATCATATTAGTAATACATGATGATTCAATATATCTTGAAACAATTCATACACACACGCGCATTACCGATATCTTGAATTCATTTAGATATTTCCTCATTAAATTCACGATATCTTCGTCCCCAAAAGGGCGGAAGATGCTATGCAGATATCTTCATTACTCCTGGCAACGTATTCGCAAATCATTTCCATTCCCAAATGGCGGCAGACGGTAACGAGTGAGCTTGTCACTGTCTTTACTTCTTGCAAGTTGTTCCAGCAGTATCCCCTCACTTAGCCAGACCCTGTCGAAACAGGTCTCACATAGCCAGAGAGGGATTTGGCTGACAAGGGTTAGTGTTTTGATAACACTTAGTCCAGATGAGCCATAGTCTGTATCAACAAAATGCTCAATTAGCGAGATTAGTGAAATTTGTATGAAAGTGAGATACATGTACATTGATATGGTATTATTTGAATATTGTGTGTGCGGGATTTCAGGAAATGCTCAATTGGTGATATTAGTGGCATTTGTATTTAAGTGAGATGCATTGATATGGTATTATTTGAATTCTCTTTGGGGATTTCAGGAAATGCTCATTTAGTGATATTAGTGAAATTATTTTAACTAGTCCAAGATTATTTATGCAAAAATAGTTATTTTTTCCGAGCACAAACATTTAGGCCTCTGGTTTCAAAAAGACGCAAATTGGACCGCACAGATGCATTTTGTACTTGACAAAGTTTCATCAATGATAAATTGTTTAAGGAGTTACAAATACCAATTTCAGCACACATTTGTTCGGGAACCAGACCGTAAGCGACAAATCATTTCGATAGGATAGTTATCATCCTTTGGATTAAGATCATACATTCACAATATCAATAATTATTGACATTGGCACTTAATTGCAAGATATCGGGAATCGTATGACAGATATCACGACAAACACAAGTTTGTCTTTAAATCCTATTCTGATATTAATCCAATTTATGATATCAGCAATTCTTTTCAATATATCATGAATATTCTTTATCATGTCCGTCATTCATTTCGTCATTGTTCATTTCGAATTTAATTGTAGTTTTATGTAATTTCCTCTATTCGAGATGGGTTTTTTCAAGTTATCTGAAAACAAAATTGTAGCAATTTCGAAAAATTGTAAAAACGGCCTGCAATATGTTGGTTCCAACATCTGACATAGCCAGACCGATACGGTTAGATGTCGTGCCGTGCACATTTAAGATACAAAATATCTATCATATGTCAACGTGTATTGCGCACTTTCCAATTAATAACTTCATAGGTCGCTCAGACCATGATAGATCTTATTACCCCGGTCACAGTATTAAAGTGCATCCTCTGCTAATAATTTTGGCCATTTGAGCTCAAAATCCCCAAATGTGAGAGTTTAGGATCTATTACTGACTAGCCATAATTGTGTGCGCAGGTGTGCAGCCTCATGTGGTCGTCTGTGTGTCACGAGCTGGTGTCCAGTCACGGGGTGCCGAATGCCGACAAGAACAGCATACATCTCTGGCGGACTCGTCTGATGAAACTGGAGCAGACGACACGACTGCAGCAGCACAGCAGACGACCACTGCATCTGGCAATCAGCCCCGACGGGACAACACTAGGTGAGCTCAGCTCATTATGTCTCCCCACGAAGGGTCGGGAGACATTTTGTGTTTGGTTGAGTTTCCGTCGACGTCAACAATCTTCACCAAATTTGCTATACTGCCTATTCATATCATGTAGATGTGCCTTTTGGGATTTTGTAATTTTCTTTCAATTTAGTTTTTTTCTGTTTCAATGGCAACAAATTTGGACTTGTTTTTTTTTAAGGTAGAGATTTTGAAATTGAATGAATCAAATGAATTGTTTGAGGTCTCAACGTTGAATCGGAAGGGGGAGACATCTGTTTATACCAGTAACTAGTTAGTTGTAACTTTGTTACTCTGGGCACCGATTACTGGTTTGTTTGTATGTTGACGCAAACAACATTAAGCACACTGGAACTGTAAACAGACCCCAACGTCTCACTGATCACAATGTTGTTTGAGCATGTCACAACATCGGAATCCACACCTTCTTAGATGTCAAAATAGGGGTACACGCAACCCGTTACTCAAAGCCTTCGTTGTGCACCCCTTGTCTGCTACCCTTATCTGCTGGAATTTCTAAGGGTTCGATAAAGACCTTATTCTGTTTTATATTACATTCAGTATTAAAGTATTTGTTAAATGTTTCCATGTAATACACTTCAGCCACATACGGTAGTTTTAAATTGAAATCTGGAAAGACCGACCTTCCTCGTATATATTAGTATTAGAGCATCGTCGCAACAGTGATGATGCGGCTTAAAATAATATTTACTCAATTCCGTGAGACACTGAGATAAAATGCAAACTGTAAGACTGCTCACCGGGGAGAGATATTTAACTCGCTGCTCATCAACCAACAGGTCTTTGGAGTCTGGGGCGGTTATCTGGTCAGGTCGGAATACCGGATGAATCTTTTTCACTGTCGTAAGTTGTAACACTGACAGAAGAAAAATCGAAATAGACTGACAGAGCAGTGAACTGATGGCTGTGGACTGACTGGACTGATGGTTAACGAACGCTTTGATTAATTTTAACCACAGATGCGATTTAACTAAAGTATCGCCATTGCATATCCGAACTTCAACTCAACTCCCAAGCAATGACAAGCGCTTTTATCAATCACACGTTATACTAACGAGGACAGCATGATAACCGCCACGCCCCCTCCAGCCGACTTCCGCTTCACTAAAGTAGGCTTTTACGAAATCGGTTAAGATGGACATATCATTGTCAATCACTATCAAATGGGGTGGAAAATTAATCCAACCAGCGATAAACACAAATAAGTTAATTAACAGATATACATTAAGCTATTTTTGTCTCCTAAGTCACACGAAAAGTGTTGAATATATTTGTACCCTGTTATACATGACGTCGACCGAGCCCTATACCACGCACACCTGGAAGCCTTGTGCATGGGCATTTGAAGCAGTTATGTCATCCAGGTGCGTGGAAACATTGAACAGATACTTTAATACTGAATGTGATACCCTATAATATAATGAGTGGTAGGGATGGGGGTGGCGGTGCGGGTTGAGATAGTTTAGCGTTCAAAGGCTTGGCTTCGTCACGACGTTGTATTCTCCATATGGTGCAGGTTGTAATATGGTGGGATAAGGCTAAATGCACCGTGAAATCGATCATCAATAACCGCGATACATATGACAGTCACTCGTCAGTGCAGGTCTTGTCTACCTGGGCATGAGAGCAAACACGTATCATGATCTCCCGAACATGTCGACAGTATCACCTGCCTGTAACGCTGTTGTCATGTGGTAACACAAATACCTGAGCTAATATCACCGTGTCTTGGATAAACATGATTTAAGATTCGGTTGACAACTAATATCTAGTTTGTATAGGGATCCTCTTATCCTTTCCTACAGCAAACATAATGAAATGGCTTTGACCTTTTTGTTCCCAGCTTTAACGACAAATCACTCATGTTGTAAACACAATGAAACTGGCGAGTGTGGCCGACCCAGGCCCCGTTGTTTGTGGCTGAAATGTCGTGGTCATTGATCACGTTAAACATTCACCAGATTATCGCTACAACAAAGATTTGCACCTACGACCGGAAGTCAGATGAACCGGAAATGATAAAATCACCGAGCTTTGTAAGTAATGGCTGGCTGGTGGCGATCGATATGTTTTAACACATGCCACAGGTTACACGTGAAGGCTTACATACACGCCTTCTCAAAACACACCAGCCTCAGCTGCATTAAGGAAGGACCAAGTCCAATCAGACGGATAAATATTATTGAATACCTTTCATTCAGCAGTAACTGTCAGGTAAACAGTGTCGACACGTATATATTGACTGTACTCAAGGCAGATGGACATTGCCTTACAGCACCAGGAATAAACATGGGAAACTTGCGTGTAGGGTTTTATTCTGTGATCAGGTAATTTGTCATCACTCTCCATTCGTTATGTGGAATGAAGTGAAGCAATGATTCATCCCAGCCTATCTTCCTGGGTCAGTGCCCCGTGAAGTTACTCACCACGCGTTGTATGAGAAGATTTACCAGGTTTACAAATAGTAGAATTTGTAAACTGGTGTATTTTCATCGCCTTAGAGACATAATATGTACGTGTTCAGATTTGTTCCCATGTAAACCCATCAATGATTTGTTTCTTAACAGCTGGGTATAAATAACTTCTTAAGTCGCCCATCAAAATACGTGTGAGCATCCATTAGGTCGATAAGATTAAGCCTATTTAAGGAGTACTTTCCTTTCTTGAAGTAGTGAATAAATTGCCCTAAGTCAAAATCATCTACAGTACGTAAGAAAACGCACTTAACACTTTAGTGTGACAAAGCATTGCAAAATCTGGTCATTTAAATGCGCCCGCTGGCAGAGACTGTCAGTTGGTCTAACCACTGCCCTCACTGTTGTCTCTTAAAGGGATGATTGGATCATTGTGATTGAAGTGATATCCGATTCCCAGGATATACTCTTTGTGTGAAAATCTTTCACGAGGCAATTTATGCAAATATATTTTCATTTTCCGATTCTGTTTTTTCTGTTACTTTGATTATGAAAAAGAAACAAACATCGTGTTTTTGTGTGTACACATGTGTGACGTACTGTGTACCAGGAGGCCAGTGGTAGCTTCCAGGTGGCTTCAAACACGAGAACACCAGTTCGGTTGTCTTCAGGTTGAATGCGGGTAGCCACCATATATCACACCCCAAAGGAGTCTAGGACGTTTTGGATGAAAACATGAAATTCTAAGAATAATTCATTTTGATACCTCCATTTATTTGTAATGTCGTTATTGACACTGTCTGCTCCTATAGCCATTAGAGTGGACGAGTCTATATTTAATGTGGAATCGGCATTGTTTCAGTCATGTAAGGACGTACCCACCAGAAACTACCTGTAGTCTTGGCACACTAATGATATGGCAATACTTGTACTCCAGGATGCATTGACATGGGAGAGTATCAAATAATTATGAAAAGTTAAAAGTTTGTAAACTTTAAAGGTTTTATTTGACTAAAAATAGATTGAACTATTTTGGTTCCGTCCTCACTAGTTGAAAACCTCAGTATCTCAGAGAAAGCTGTAAAATGGCTTGGTAAGTGGGAATTTGGAGTGCCAGTAGAACACTTGGTGTGTACAACATATACTGCAAAGAAAACCTGAAGCTAGTTCGTAATCTTATGCTGTTGTTAAATAATCCTATATGTGTTTTGAGGGTGAGCTTCTATACGAAGGCGATCTTACAAGACTTAGTACGACCCTTACGAGTCATGGTGCCATTGACTATGACAGTATATCTTCCACCGACGTGCCCGGTTCAAAGCATAAACTACCCCATGGCAGATTAACTATACCAATCTGTGGAGGTGCGGTCAAGACATCATGGTGTTCAACTTTCTCTGTGATCACGAACTTTCTTGTGTATTCGAGAAACTATGCTCGGAAACAGTTACTTCGGAGATTCTTGAAATATGTCCCCTTGCTACAGAGAACTACTAATGGCTGCTGCAGTGAAACTGAAACAGGTCGAAAATTTCAACTGACATAAGACTTTCACTGAATTGGAACACAAATATATGCAAACCATGCAGGACACGGATATCCAATTAAGAGTTTTCTGCCAATCTGTTTACTTTAACAAGGCACCAGAACAATGGCGGCGAACGTTCAACTCACTGCAATAATGGCGGCTAACTCTTACAACCCATTAGTAGAAATCTACGTAATGCATTGTTGAAAAGTTTTCTCGTTGCGATACAGACAGAATTTAAAGTCCTTACATGGGTACAATATAGCAAACTGTTTGAGTCCACCGTAGCAGATCTAGAAAACCACATACTCACTGACTCAGCCTTGCATGCATCTTTGGTTTCAGCATCTCTTGGGGCAGACGAGAATCTGTGTCTGTGGAGGTGCTTCCCGTCCTCCACACCCAGAACATCTTCAACCGATCACGATTCGCCGCTCCAGCTCACCAAGTCCATCCGCTGAACATACAAACAATAGATCGACAAGCATATGTAAACAGTGAACATAATAAATACTTCTACATTCATGGCAAATGAAATGGCGTATGTCCGTTTGGTTTAATCTGATGCTGATGCGTTGCTTCAGACTTCAATGTCTTTTGATATATTATTTACCATTCATTAAGAAAATATTTTTCATAGTAATACTTATGACTGTTTTGTTTGTTGTTATGTGGGAAGTGGTGAATGTAGTCTTCCGGCACTACTTCCTGTACTACTTCCTGTACAACTGTTAACAGGGGGTTGAGGCTATGTAGAGCCAGCACTGAACTACGGATAAAGTGCTTTTCGTTTGGAAATATTTCATTACCAATAATCCAGTACAACCAGAATGGAATTTTAATGGATTATTGAAATAATTATGTCAGGTGCCAAATTGTTTAGTTTTGTTGTATCGGTAAGATGTTCCTGTTACTATTGACCAGGAACTCTGGGGGCTAGCTTTGTTGTCAGAACGGAACAATGTTTTGTAAACAAATACCAAATTATTCTAGGTTCAATAAACTTCTCTATTGTTATTTGACACTGTTGTTTGTTACTGCCAGCATACGTTGAGCACCTCAAGGTTCAACAGGCTTGCCGTTTGATGACCTTACACAGAGGGTTGGATACTGCACAAAAATGCATGACGCATATCAGACAGTAACTGAGACACGTTCTCATATGTGTTGTTTTGGCCGTTTCTCTGAAGCAAAGAAAACTTAACCAAGCTTCATTAACACCATCACCCGCCTTCACTACACTTGCAATCAGCTGATGCCCATGTACGTGGATGGTAGGTTTGGTTACATGTCCTCATGTTGGTTTCAGGCAACAGTTCATGACATGGCCCACATTGCCCGTATCATTCGAATGTGTTTAGGATTCATTTCTATGATTATTGAAAATGATTTCTTCGCTATTATGTAGGTTATGTTTGTTGAACTGCCATCACTGGTGTTTTCCCACTTTACAGCCTGGTATTTGTTTGTAGATCGAGTGGTCATGCTTGATTAGTTTGATAGCGTGGCTCAGTCTCCCGACGCCGTGTATTATTGGTACTCACGGTGCTGATCATTGTTTGGTCCAGACACGTGTTTACTGACCACCGTCAAATGACTTGGTGTGGCGATAGGCACCCAATCCTAACAGGCTGGTATTTTTAACGAACACCAGCGGACATCACTGATTTTCAGGGACGCGTGAAGATTTGAGATTGATTGCTCTGCATTGTTCACGTTTAGTATTTTCACTTGCTCAACCGTTACCTTCAGGATTCCACTCAGAGTTATAATTTACTCGTTACTTTCACCAAGTTCGATACACTGTTCGGGTCGGTTCTAGCCTGGCTCCCAAAAGTTCCGAATATCTTGGTATGATAAGATGTATCCACTTTTTGTTATTTGAAATATCTTCCATTGGAATTGCAGGTTTTAAAACTTACTGTGAAGAATCCCTCCTCCCTTTAGAGCAGAACATGTGTCGCTGCGGCAATATTTCAACTATATTTTAACAAATGTCTTGAAGAGTTGACTAGGGAAATAGCGCATCGACTAAACACGCCAGTCTCTCATTGTCTTGTCTGTCGGATCTCATGTTAACGTTTTCAAGGAAGAGAAATATATTTGTAAGGGGTTTGTGAAAGGTATTTTGTCACAATATGTCATCCAGTTCGTCGCACGTAGCTATATCATGTTCTGAAAGCTAATCTTTGCAACAAGCTGAAGATCTGCCAGTATACAGCGAAACATATCTCCATATGGATTCTCGTGACGGGAACAACTCTGGCAAGGAAATCGATATCGATGTACAATAGCCCAGCAATAACATTGATTAGGTGTTGTGGCAATTACGACAAACAGTGGGATGCTATGTAGCTCAAAGTTTAATATGTTTCACTGCAGCTTTTCTTGATGGCCTAATAGCGATATGTGATCGTCGCCACATGAAAACATCACGAAGCTTTAGAGCTTCAATGCTGGGGACAATCACCCACGGATGAGTGAATCAACTCGCGGACGGGAACTGTTCTTTGAAAACATCGATTATTGTTCCGGTTGTATTTATAAATCACATGGGCCAGCTGTTATTTGATGTCAATCAGACATGCAATTGATTTGGTTTATGTAGTATTTTATGGGAGTGAGTATTACGTTTTTTGGCATGTTCCAGTCCGTGGAGACCTCATACAGTGTACCTGTCCAAGAGCGGTTGTTTTGGTACCCTCAGCTGGTAGTTTAGGATGGCTGAGGGACGGAAGACTAATGTCACGGGTGGAGTTGACGACAGCAGACATTTTGGGGAATAGTCGTAAAGATGGTACAAGTTCACTGCCAAGGCGTGGCAGAACGCGCACCGGGGCCGAGTGGCTAATGTTCCCGGTGCGGAGACCCACTCTGTTACTCGCTCACATGCAGAAGCTGGACGGCGATTCTTCATATTCGTGTAGTCGTTGGTGAGGCGATGGCCGTGTCCGACGCCTCAACAAGCAGCACAATCGGTCCGCTTCTTCTGTTGATCAGGGCCCGTCTCCCTGTCCGGATACCTTTCTGACTGATCATGTCGTCAGGTTTATACATGTGTTTGTTGAATGCTTAAACAGAACAAAGGATAGAGCATTTCACTGCATATATTGAAGCAATTAGGTTGTTTGAATGAACTTTAATGAAACTTATTGAAATGGTTTTCACTATAACAAACCCATGCTGAAGATCCACCCCCTGGCGACATTCAAGCTTGAATCCTTGTTGGGTCTACGCCGTCATATTGGGGGAAGAGTATTAACAGCGGCGTAAAACGTTTCAAACTTTCAATGTCAGATGACGTAGTATGTCACACACAGTACCGCCAGTTGGGGAAGAAGACGTGGGGGCCGTGTTACAGGGAGCTATAGTAGAGTGGTGCTTGAACAACAGTGGGTGGGCTACCACGATCCCAGCCGCAACATGAGGAGGCACGCAAGATGTCGGGGGACACATTGTAATTCATCATTATTGTGAAGCCAGTTCCTATACTGTAAGCCTTTAAAAACGCAATTGGTATTTGTTGTCCTGAAACTCACAAAAGTTCTATTGAAGATTTTTGCCTGCGATACAGAGGATGTAGGGATAAAAGGCTGTTATTCTGGCCCATTTCGAGTTCGAGTCCCGGAGCATTCCTCTCACATGAACTTTGATACTTAAAACTGAACCTTTGACATTTCTCGTAAACACAACCACATTCATGAAACACGTTGTGCACATGCATTACCTGCACCCAGGCCCTGTAAAAGCACAAGGAATTGTGGAACTCAATCAATTTGAGAAAATGCCACACTTGACACAAGACGAAAGGAATCAGGTTATCGGTATGGCCAGTCAAGGTGCTTCAGATGTGATGATTGCCAGGCATCCATCCACTGTAAGTCGACCCAGACAACGTTTTCGGGCTACCGGAAGTGTTGCTGATCGTCCGCGACCTGGTGCACCACCTGTGATAACAGCTCGACAAAACCGCAATATCAGAGTTTCACACTTGCGAAATCGGTTCCAAACAGCTGATGCTGAGGCAAGGAGGACAATTGGGACAAGTCAACGTCATTTCAACGCCCAAAAGGTGCAAGGACGCCTAGCTCCCTTCAACATCCGGTGTCGTCACCCGTACCGTGGTCCAACCTTATTGCATAGCCACAGACTTGCCAGACAGCGATGGGCAGCAAATGGGGCCAATCTTGGCAACAGGACATGGCCAGATGTCATTTTGTCAGATGAATCCAGGTTTAACTTATCCTTTGCAGATGGACGTCCACAGATTTATCGACGTAAAGGAGAAAGACTTGCGCCAAACTGTGTCCTTAAACATGATCGTTTTGGAGGGGGTGGTGTCATGATCAGACCACAGACCATCAGAGGCTGCAGACCATCCAACAGCTGTTCCTGAGAAATGTGTGTCTTTCAATGCCCCAAAGACTGCGAGCATGTCTTGCAGCGCACGGTGGACACACACGATATTGACTGCAAGTGACCCCTCCTTTGTTTGATGTCGTTGTTGCGTCACTGATGTTGTTGTTGACTGGACATTTTCAGATGAAATTATTCACAGATGTTCACTTAAAACATATCTGCTAGTTAGGTTTATATATGTTGAAATTGGTGTGAGTAAAGAAAGTATGAATGTCAAATTGCGTTTTTAATGGCTTACAGTATATGTAGAAATAAACAACTATTAAACTACAACGGAAGCCCACCCGGGCCACATATCTTGAAAATTGTATATTGTATCTTGAATTTTCAAAATGTGTAAGACAGTTTTCAAGATAAGTTTCCGCTTATCAAATTGAATTAATTTTCAAGACTGCGGCTTGCATTTCTTACTTAGTTTCTTGGATATTTGTATCATAAAAAGGCCATCCGGTAATGAGTTTCAATAAACTGAACAACTGCTTTTCGTTTTTCTTAAAATGATCTATGCAATCAAAAGGAAACTCCGCCAATCATGAAATGCAATAGGATGGCCTATGCATGCCTGCCATACAGCCGAGGTAGCAAGAAATAATTAGTTTTAACACAGTTTATCCTTTGAGCCACTAAACCCTAACTCATAACGCCCGGCCACAAACACTAAGCTGTCTCGGAAAATTGTTGGCGAACCTCCTTATCATTAGACTAACCAATTTCCTCGGGATTAACCATATTATATTTCCCGTCAAGTTCTCACAAAGTATTTTCATGTAATAGATTTGGTTTTTGAGGGCCCAGTCATACGTATTAAACCTAAATATGAACAATTGTGTATTGTGCAACATCATTATTGTGATATACATAAGTGTTATATAAAGGAATGTATTTACATGTATATTTACATAAGCTGCCAACATGGGATATGTCAAACATATCAATTCACCTTTTGACAGGACTTAGACATTCGCATCTGTATGTGTGAAGAATAGATTTATATAAATACATATTTTTGACGTAGACAGAAATGCGTCATTGTCTGAAACGGAATCAATATGCTTGCTTGATGTATCACATTGTGAACTGATTTGACAAATTACTTGCTTGACACACCTGTCAAGTTTGAGATTGAGATGAATTTGGTCTTTTCTGAAAGATAAGCGATATTTGAAGATTTACTTTGTAAGTAATACTTTAGTTGGTAGCTCGTTAAATTGTTCATGTAACGATGTGCGAAAAATGGCCATATATTCCGATGGACTGTGGGGTAGAGATTTTGTTCGTCTAACTTTTCTTTTAAATAGTTTTCATGATATTTGGAGTATGTTTGGTTTTCAGATTTTATATTTTGAAGATTGTATTCTGGATGCACTGACATGCTGGCAGCCATGGCTGATGGAGAGCACACATAAGGTGGTCTCAAACTTATATTGTCGAGGCCAGATCAAAGCTTATATTATTGAGGCCAGATCAAGGCTTATATCGTCGAGGCCAGATCAAGGCTTACATTATCAAGACCAGATCAAGGCTTATATTGTCGAGGCCAGATCAAAGCTTATATTGTCGAGGCCAGATCAAAGCTTATATCGTCGAGGCCAGATCAA